TTTTGGCAAATAATTTGCTTAAAAAAAAGTGGTAGTCATTTAAAATTAGTGGCTGTCTTTAGCTTGTATGCACCGTACTATTAATTTTTACTATAATACCTCATATAAGTTTGATTAATTAGTATATCGGAAGCCCCAACGTAATACGTACGTACGTATTTACAATACGTGTAAATATAAAAAACATAACAGTTTTTAAATCTTTGAAAGTTCTGAATATCAAGTTTTTTTTAAAAATATTTGGGGTTTTTTTTTTGGCTTGTTGATAGATATTAAGTCGAATATTAGTTTATTTTAATAAATTTTAAAAATAATATATTTTCTTGAGGAATTTTACTATTAAGCACTCTTAGGTGCGCCATAATACCCGACCCTCCCTTAAACACGACAAATGTATTGTCATGATAAATTACAGCAATGGTGAAAATAATAAATTACAGCAATAGTAAAAATGGTAATTTTCATTACATAGGCGTTTTTTAAAAATAAAATAAAATGTAAAAGGGAGGTATTTTGGCGAATTTGAAAAAATTAACATAAAAATTTTTTTTTTTTATTATAAAAATTTTTTATTTTTATTTAAATTATAACTTATATGTATTTAGAATTATTTTTTTGAAGAGGCGATACAAAAAAAGTAGATTTTAGAGGGGTGGGGTATTGTGGTGAATTTAAGTTATCTCGTGATCTAATGATCCAAATCGGAAAATTTTTATATCATTCGATTCGTCTCATCGATCATCCAATTCTAGATCACTGGATAACGAGATATTAACGATTATATGCAGCATCAAAATAATCTTGAGGGAATTTTGATGAAGAGCAAACTTAACATATAATCGTTAATATCTCGTGACCCAGTGATCAGAATTCGATTCATTTCAATGAGGCGAATCGAATTTATAAAAATTATCCACTATATCACGAGATAAACTAAATTCGCCCTTCGCCAAAATACCCTCTTTTACCTTATATATTAATTTTTTGGTTTAAAATATAATATATACCCATATTATAATAATTAATAAAAGCAAATTACATAAAAGAATCCTGTATTTAGAGAATAGAATTTAAACAACAATTTAAAAAATTATACGTTGTAAAAAACGTATAGTTGGTAGCTCTCCCACAAAAATTCCCCACTCGTGATTTTTATCAATTAGATAACCAAGATCATGTAGATCAGGTGTAACGAAAAATCAAAACAACCTTCTTTAGGGTAGGGTTAGGATTAAGTCACGTTAGGGAGGAAATTTTTGTGGAAGATCTACAGGCGTTAAAAATAAGAGGGTTGCCCTGTTTCTTAAATTATATACTAACCATAATAATCATAATGATGCAATTATATAAATTATACTCGAAATAGTAATTTTTAATTGTTTTATTTGGGGCTAAAAATCTGATAATCTAAACATAGAAAGATAATGATAATGTATGATTATCATGACTATGGTTAGGTTGTTCCTATTTAGAAAGTATTTGTATTACAAATTCACTTTCGAAAATTTTCCACTTGGAAACAATCGTTGTAAAATGCCCAAAGCAAAAAAATCCTGAATCTTATATCGGATCCGAAAATGTCCGTCTTGTCGGACTGATTCGTTTAATTTCTTCAGCTGGGCTAGCCAGCAAGCTGATAATATAAGCAAAACCAACACAAAATCCATTACTTCTTCATTAATTCTTCCACTTCATCCGAACAATTAGCATTCCGATATACCATCACATAAAGTGGAAGATAACTTTATTGAAATTACATTTCATTATAAATATTACGATACTAATAATACTTTTTTGACCACAATCGTCAGAAATATGCATCATATAGGATAGCACATACCTCTGGATTTGTGGCAGTGTATATAACATTACTTTTTTTAAACCCATTAAATTGTGATGCAGCGCATATAGTATATGCCCCCATTTCCTCGAAATACAACCAATCGCCGGGTAATAAAACGGGAAGACTGCTCGCCGTGGTAATACAATCAATTGAATCACATGTAGGTCCCCAGATGCTACAGTCATACACGGGTTCATCCAAATTTTCACCAAATGTAAAAATTCCTCCTTTAAATAAAACTTTGGGATGAACTATCTGGTGGTCATACAAAATGCAATTGAAAGCTCCGTATACTCCATCATTGATATAATCTATAAGATTGATTGTTGAAAATTTAGCTTACCAAATCGACATATAACTCATAGATGCAAGTCATCGGACATGAAATATAAGAATCTCAAGATTCCAAGGTTATATAATATACAGTTAGCATAACTCAATTCTAGGATCGATGAAGCACCCAGAGCTTTTACCTAATTACGTTCTTCACAGACAATTACATACCTACACTCCCTAACGAAAGTCGCCGGCTTGAGGGTCTCTATAGTAAAACAGTAAATATAAAAAATTTTCTGCTCTACTAAATTCTTAATAAATTTATCTTCAATTACAGTTTAATAAAAATTCTTTTAAGAATTATAAGGTTGTGAAGTTTACAAGATTTGTTGCTTAAGTGTACTAACGCTTAAAGAAAAAATTTCCAAGAAAATATTTTATTAAACTGTAATTGAAGTTTGCGGCTATATAAATTAAAAAATTATTTAGTTTTTACTAGAGCAAACAATTTTCAAGATTTACTGTTTTATTATAGAAAAAATCTTCAAGCCAGTGACCTTTGTTAGAGAAATGTATGTTTAAATTTATATTGAATGACAGAAATTCCACGCAATAGCTTGAAGAATCGAATAGATCGGTATAATTAAATTAAACGCATATATGTTAACTTTATGAATCTTGAGATTCCATTATATTTACATGTTTGGTGACTTATACCTGTTTCAAATAACACTTACACATATATCCTGAATGATCTTCCCGAGTTGGTGATTCATCATTTAAAACGGTATCCATATCCAAGGTTTGCACATCACCATTACTAAGTACAGTTCTTCGTGCAATAATATGAGTTGCGATAGTGAAGGCAGGTGCCGCATAATAACGTCCTGGTTCGGCAATGACACGAACGTTAGGCGGAAATAAGCTATCGATTTCTGGTCCAAGAATAGCCGCTATTTTTTCAAAGGTAATGCCATCACAATCGCGGGAATGTGAAAAACCACCTCCGACGTCGAGTAAATGAAAATTAAATCCTAGTTCCGAAGCTTGATCGAACACAAACTTAGCACGATGAACAGCATCGATAAAGGCATTTTCGTCGTAACATCCACTACCGACATGGAAACTGAAAAAAAGAGGAATTTAAATCTATAAGATCTATAAGTAAATATAAACGCAAATTAAACATAAATTTATAAATTTATAATACCTTACACCAATCACATTTAAATCCAATTTTCGAGCCGTTTGCAGCAATGACCCTGTAGAATCTAAGGAAGCGCCAAATTTTAAGCCCAATTTACAAAGCGACATAGAATCGTCAGTGAGAATACGAAGCACCAATTGAGCATCTGGGAAATAACGTTTAATTTTATAAAGTTCATCTGAATTATCAAATGTCATCATTTTGACATTATGTTCCGCCGCATAACGCACAAATGACGCTTGTTTGCAAGGATTCGCATAAATAATCTTTGATGGGTCAACACCAATATCAAGAACCGTCTGAATTTCAACTTTACTGGCGCAATCAAAACCCGTTCCTAATGCAGCGAGGAGTCTAAGTAGCAGTGGGTCGGGGTTGCATTTTACGGCTAGGGAATACAAATTATAATTAATAAAATTCAAATATATAAATATACATGTACAAATTAAATAAATAGTTTGACGGTACCATAAAATGGTTCAATTCGTGGCAAAAGCGATTTCCAGCGAAAATGTTGATTATATACTTCGTCAAGGTTGGCGACAAAAAAAGCATTTTCAGCATCTGATTCACATCTATCAATATCAAGAGATAAAATGCGATTTCTTAAAATATCTTTAACCGGCAACATGCTAACGGCCGGGAGATCAATTTGGTATCCCGGTTTATGTTCTGAAGAAAATTGACTAGATTGAGATTTAGGGCCATATTGTTTAATATCGAGAAAGGTAGTGGTGCCAATATCATTCATCGAGCGTTTGGATTCTGGAAAATTTTATTATCTAGCTAGGGAATACCGAGGGAACAGGAGCAAGACCAAGGCGGTGATCTCTAAAAAAAAAAAATAAATAAATTGTAATCGGTTAATAAAATTATAATAAAAAATTATTGGAGACGACACTATGCTAAAATTTGGAGGTCTCAATTTGAAAATATAAATCCTAATAAAATCTGAATATATTCTTTTATTATTAACAACTCTAGCTCTAAATCCTAACGAAAAAAAAACATCTTATATAAAATATGTTCTAATATCAATATCATCCGATTCAGCATTATCCTCACAAAATTAATAAAAAAAAATAGAAAAGTAAATACTATTCGAATAGAAAACTCGGAGTAGACAGATAACTCTAGTCATTTATTAGAACTTTTACCTGATGACCCCGGAAAACAATTAACTTGACGACTTGCTTTTGTAGCGCCGTGATGATAATGCACCTTTCCGAAGAAAAGTGCCGGAGTAGTACTGAGGTAATTTATTGAGAACCGAAATTTGCAGTTATTTATACTGCGTTCTTATTAATAAACTGGTCAAACCAGTACGGTATAACTTC